ACATGCGTTTCACCAACTTGTCACCCGATCCAAAATACTCGGGGTGGAATTTTGACCAATTAAGTAATTCCGTAGCAGACAGCAAAATCGGCTGTTCACAATTATTAAACAATTTACAAGAAAAATTTTTTTTACCATGCTGGGATATGTGAGATAAACAGAGAAATGAATTCCTTCAAGACTAATTGTTGGTATGATATCTTCTTTGGAATCTTGTACATCTTGTAAAATGTCCTTTAATGCAAGCTGATGTCGTAACATAGCAGTACTAACCAGTCCCAATTTTGGTCTGTTGCAAATAAGTGTTTAATGTTATGGTCTATATAAACTAATGTAACAAGAACCATATTGATGGTCATTGCACTCACACATCAACAGCAGCATTGGGTTTCTTGTGTTCACTCCCAAATATTGGAAATGCTCCACCAAGTGCTTCACAATGCTCAAACATAGGAAATTTTTGTTTAGTGGGAATAATAGTTGCCACCTTAAAAGCCTTTAAATTCCCCGAACCATCCCCAAAGCCACCTTAGCCTACTTATTCCCCTGCACCATTGTCCGTAAACTCACACGTGAAAAAATTTTCCGTTCTAACAGAGCTATCCAATCTAGGCTGATACTGATAAGACTTATCATGTACCTTCCACACAATTTTTGTATCCCATTTCTTGTTCCTAAAGTAAACATACAATCAATCATAATTAAATTTTGCTGCCTTAATCCAAATACCAAAGTAAACCTTACCTATCAAATCCCAAGTTTGTATGTAAAAATGGTCTGTCAAGAATCCAACCATATAATGAAGCATCCCAGCTAAATTCACACCTCCTCTCCAACCTGTCAGCAATATGTCTGGCATTTGTTTTTAGTAACAAATAATAGATGACAAGTTCTTCAAAGTCAACATCAGAATTTGGATTAATGTTTACATCCATCTGTTCATTGAAGTTAAAAAGTTCTTGCACTTCTGGATGTTCCATGACTGAAGTAATTATTGATGGACATTCATTTCTGAATTCTTAATAATAATAATGATTATAACAATTAATTTTTGTAACATTTTAAAGTACCCCTAATGCAGAGCCTTACTTTGTACATCAACTACTCGTTTATGTTGCAGCTTCTCAATGTATTCTTTAACTGAATCAGGTACACCAAGAAGACCATCATAATAATATGGTTGATGATAGATATTGTTAAGGAGTAAATCATTGATATCAAAGGGAAATCTAAAATAAAACAATATAAGCTGATGTAACTTTTAAAGCAAATAAACAACCAGATAATTACCCATGCACTTCCATAGGAGAAAAGTGTTGCAGAAGGTATTCAGTTGAATCCATTCCCATAAATGATTCTGAACATTCCCAAATAATGTGAAACAGATGCAGAATATGTTAAGCATCTCATTGCATATTATTAACTCATGACATAAATAATAAAGCTAATGTAACCACCTTCTCTAGCCAGCTCATCTATTTGCAGGAAGAGAACAAGTTGGTCAATATTATACAGGGTTGCAGTATAGGTAAAGTGCTAGTATAAAGACAGTACCTGTGGGTCGATCCACAATGACATGGATGTGCATTTTAGCCGGAGGTACAGAAAACATATTGCTTATTTCACTGCCGGCGGAAATAACTTGTGTTTCTGTACTTGGTCCAGATCAAGTGGCTCTATAGAATCGATTGGTACAGACACTGCCCAAAGGATGAGTTTGTCAGCAGCAATGTCATCGAACTCGGGCCTCTTCTTTTTCTTGATCTTGTCCCGTAGATGACCGACTGTCTTGTTCTGTTCAATATCAACAGGGAATGCTCTTTCTGTGGGATCACCGTGCACAAGGCAGAAAAGAGTAACAGATGGCTCGGCGATGGGGAGAGACGATGACGATCCTGCTGTCCTTCTTGCGGAACGCCTTAGTGGTTGTGACATTGGAAAACGTATAAGCGGTGTTCAATCAACTTCTCGATCATGTTTTATACGATCCCAGCCGCGGTCACAGGTTTTTCCACCTGACGTCGAAGCTGATCGGTCTCACACTGTCACGTGTTATGAAAATATATTGTTTCTCATTTGACTACTTCTTCCATTAACAAATTTTAGCGGTCTTATCTGTTCGTGTTTTCTTACTGTAACAAATACGATGATTCGCAAAGAATAATCACGTGCGTGAATTTAGGGATCGAAAAATTACTGCATATATTATCACTGCGGAACCGTGCTTAGGGAGGGAGGGTGTGCACTTGGAGGGTTTTATTTGTATACCGATTATTAAGGTCGTCCCATTCATGAGAAGTTTGGTTGTGGCGTAGAACAATGCAAACCGATCGTCACAGGATCGAGACAAGTCCATCCGCTGTGCATTGTAGGTTATTTCCCCTTCCTCATCCAATAATCCATCAAATGCCATTCGAATTCCTCGTTGCTTCAGGAAGGATAATTTGGTATTGATACTTGTGATTACTACACAATACAGTGAGACTCCTCTAAATGCATCTCCTCTAAATGCATAACTCCTCTATATGCATACTTTTGTCTGGTCCCAA